CCCGCCTGGGTGAGGCGGGAGGGAGTGTCAGACTCTTACTGACTAAAAACCACCCCGTTCCTTCTCCTGCACGTCGAGCCGGAGCCCCGGTTACCCGTTAGGTTCTCCGCGACTAATCGAATGGATAGCGTGATCAGACGTTCCGTTTTGAACGGGATTGTCCCTTTTTTTATTTACAAGTCCCGTTGTCCCCGAAGTGGACTCTGGGACGCAAAATTGTCCTGTTTTCGGAAACCTCACAAAATTTTTAATAGTCGAACCTATGCGACGTCCGTTCGGACGGCTGGAGTGGCGTACGAGAGCGATACAGCGTCATACATAACTCGCTAAATCTTGACGAACGAAATACAATCGAAAATCTATAAATCCTACATTTTTGTGCAAGTAATAATGTTAACCTCTTTTTGTGCGCACAAAGTTTGTGTTTACAGGTTCTATAATAGGATCTAGCTACTAAATGCCTGACGGAAACCAATTTTTTATAGGGTAGGTAAGCCGCTAAACGAGCATACGGATTACCTGATGGTAAGCAATCGGCGTCGCCCATGGACACCTGGAACATCAGAGGCGTTACAAGTGTGTTACCAGCCTTTTGGGGGATTAGGAATACGGAATTGGGGATGGAGAAAATGCTGGGCCTCCGGTAACTTCACTCATATGGCAAAACACTACGCACGGTTTCCTGTGATAACGTGATATTACTTCAGTGTGGAGTTGAGCTGGTCCATTCATAATGAATTGTAATACCTAGTTCCTCCGCCTAAAAATAAATAGCAATAACACTATGCCCGATCTAGGAACCAAAGACCTATTGCTCAGCAGTCGCAATCGCGGCCCCTCAGCCAACGAGGCAGACGTAAATTACGTAAATAGATTACCTATCTACTATGTACATATTTTTAACTTAAATCTAATAATTAATCTAAAATTGGTTTGGTAATTAGAAATAAACGAAATTCGATCTTCTTACTCAAAACATTACAGAAAAATATTAACACTAAGGGCCACCCAACTCATCAATATTATTTTATAGTAAAGCTCAAAAAATCTTGGTGTCGAATTTTTAGTAATACATTAAATTAGTAAATAACACCATCTATACGCACACATGGGAACTAACATCTATGCGGTTGCTAAATAAATATATCTTTTTTATTTTTGCAGTTCAAAGTCAACAGGATATAATCAATTTAAATTCTCAAGCCTCAAAACAAGTGAACTCAGGTGTTTTACTTAGTATAAAAAAAGTTATCATTTTTTATTTTACTCTTTATGACAACCGCATCGTCGGCATTTGACCTTCACGTTGGTAAAGCGCTTTACGTTTAACCGACTGTCGATAAAATGGGTTGTGTTATTTAGCTGAATGTTGTTTTTGTAGATAATGTAAAAATGAAATTGAAAATTGGTTTTACTATACTTCGTACCATAGGTATAATAAACTAATAATAATTTACTATAATTGTCATAATCGAATGCCAAAGCAGAGAGACAGCTATCTATTCACTTTAGGCGAAATGCTTAGAAATTTTATAAACCTTTTTTTTTAATTTTATAAGCCTAGGTGCACATCTTAGAATACATACTTAATAAAATATTATAAATATTTTTTCATGGTTTTGTTTCCTCAGTACCTACTTACCTATATTAAAGCTCAATTTGTAGTACCTACGAAATACAGCGCAGTCAATTGTTACCTCTAATTTCTGTTTAACGAACTGCTTACTTTAATATCATACAACAGAAAAATAATATAACTAGCTAGGTAATCTTTAGTTGAAACAGTTGTCGTAATTGATATTTTTTTATAATAAAACATTTTAAAGTTAAATAAATAAGCAATACCGCTTCATACACAAAACCTCAATCGCTTCAAGCACTAATTTCACATCGAACCACAAACCGCGCCACCTGTCCGTTCTAAATGTAGATAAAACAGGCCAGAAATACTCGGCGTCGGTAAAACAGGCGCTCCCCCCGCGGCGGCGTGCCGACCCCTCCGAGGGCGAACGAAAAACCAGTGCGATCGAGCGACACATACCGCGCGTACCTGCCACAAACGCATAAACGCGGCACGCTTCGCGATTATGATGAACCGAACACAACATTACACGCAATTATTCAGTGAAATAATGTAAATAATAACGTTAATTAACATTTAGTATAGTTTTAGTGCAGTGTGAAACCGTGAGCATTGTTTACCGGCCGGCGAAAGCACGCGACAACGCTCCCGAAAAAAAAAAACTCAAATGTCCGTGCAAGTGAGGATGCTTGTGTCAGTCAGTGTAGTGTGTTAAAATAGGTAAATGTATAAACGGCGTGCTATGATCGTATGAGGAAGAAAAGCACAAGGAACATTGTAAGTGCAGAGCGTGTGGCTCTAGTGTTATTACTGTTGTTTGAGAGCAGAAATGCGGGGTAGCTCGCCCCAATCCAAGAAGGTTTTATCCGAGTGGGGCGGCTGCCGCTGATCAAAAACGGAGGTACGGAGGTCTATCCCTCGTGTACTCAGTGTTTTTTTATACCGAAGCAGGTCCCACGTAACCCCTTTTTTGTTCGACGCGTTTTTTTGGAGGGAATGTTTATGAATCGATACTCTTATAGGTTATAAGCGCCTAGTACTCGCGTCCGAGTTCCTACACGCGTTTTTGATAAATAAACACAAAAAAATCGATTCGTTCGATACGAGTTGTTTTTTTCGAAAACAAACTTTGTTTTTTCCGTTGTCGGCTAACTTCGGGTTTTATCGTTGAAAAGTTTAGGATAACTTGTATGCGTCCGTCTATGTGTGTAGTAGTTTTCAATTGGAATTCACACAATCAAGCTAAAAACCCTCTTAATCTAATGAAAACAAACAAAATTAATCACTTTTTTACCATAATTTAATCCGAATTAGTTACGAGAAAGACTTCCAACGGTAAATTTATGGTAGGCTTCGTGTAACGCACTATTTCGTCTAATATCAATGGTGTAGGCAGAGATACCGGTTCGCTCGTCCTTCTATTAGCTTTTCTCAAAGATTTAACTTGTTTTTATTATTAGAAATTGATAAAAACAACAAAAAATACAGTTTATTTAACTAGTAACAGTGTTGATCAAACATCTGACTGAATGCCTATGGTCTACGAAAAATATTTCAAATGTGGAATTAGTAGACCAACTACCTAAGTATTGCGAATGAAACCTCTTTGATTCTTATGACAGCCTGGTACTTTGACGTCCTTGACATTGAAACCTATGACTTCAATTTAGGGCCTTAATGTCTCAGTGTCTGATAAAGTCTCAGTAAGTTTAACTGACAGATAATTTTACGTATTTGCCCGTACAGTTGTCTAATTTAGGTATTTGTCAGATAAGCTAACAGAAATTAGTCATTGTGAATCATACCCTTATTCATTCCTATTTTTAACAGACTTCAAAAAAAGGAAGAGGTTCTTAAAATCAGCTAAACTTTTCCCAAAAGAGGGTAAGCAAAATGCAGAAGAATGCCTACATTGTCTCCAGTTATCGTTATGTGATCTATGTAACACCTTTAAAGTCATTTCTAAAACCTAATTCTGGTTTCGAAATACTAAATCAATAACGATATCCAGAAATCGAATTTACGTTACGTTAGTACTAACAAACAAAGAAAAAAAATATTATATTAAAATAAATATTCTTACGCTTTTAAAATCTCGGAAGATTATTTAAGAAAGAAACCTCACCAGAAGTTTCGCTAGTTGCCTGATGAATCTCAAAATCTCAAGTAATATCTAGTACTCATCGCAGAGAACCTAACGGGCTACTGGGGCCCCGGCTCGATCGAAGTGCAGGAGAAGGAACGGGGTGGTTGTTAGTCAGTAAGAGTCTGATACTCCCTCCCGCCTCACTTAGGCGGGAGACGTAATTCGATGATTTTCGCACCTTAAAAATAATCTAGTACTACCTATTACTGATTCTTAAAAAATTAATAGTTACTTTCCTGTGGCTTAAAATGATACCACGTTGATTTGCCGATATCATTGACTTAACTATGAACCTCCTCTACTTACGGGGATGTCATAATATCCACGTTTGCCAAGCTGAGGATATCCCAGTTTAATTCTCCATAATTTGGGTCTATCCAGGTTTTTAACAATAACATAACATTACGCCTTTTATCCCCGAGGGGGTAGGCAGAGGTGCACACAGAAGTAACGCCCATTTTTCACTATTTATGTTATGAGTCCCATGTAATAGGGGGTGAGCCTATTGCTTTATACCGGGCACAATTCTAGACTCCGTGCTACTACTAAGATTTTTTTTAAAACCCAGTAATACTTTGCCCGACCCGGGAATCGAACCCGAGACCTCTTGCCCCGGCAGTCGCACTTGCAACCACTCGGCCAACGAGGCAGTCAAAATTCAAAAATCTATTTTGAACCGAGATCGTTTGCTTCAAAAGATTCAGGACGTTTGGGTCTATCAGAGAGCCTTGCAGAGCTCGGTCTCTATAACATATCTACGCCACAATCAGCTCTTTCGAACCCACGAAACTGTAAACTCACCAACGAGTTCATTTTGCTGTCCTTTCCATGAATAAATGGCGTGATGTTAAAGTTACATGCACGTCAGATTGTATACATATACTCGATGGTCGAGTGGTCGATCGAGTAGTGCTATTAGGATTCTCCCGAAATTTAGAAAATTTCTCACATGGATTCTTTATGGCAATAGACTCAATTATATGGGACTCATAACAACAAAAGTGATGAAAAGTAGGCGTTACATTGTATTATTTACTCCACTGCCTGTCCCTTCGATGATTGCTTACGCCGATTGTACTTGCAATATTATAATCAATTCAATGTAATGCTTGCATCATACAGGTTATTGACCTATACCTACTTAAGTACGCGTAAATTTATGAACTTTACAGATATTGTATTGTTATTTTGCTAAAGGGGTAACTAGATAGAAATAAGGTTTTTTCAAACTACGACAGTAGCAAATGACACACAGCCCACCTTGAAGGAGTCCATTGGATCCTTGATCCATCTAAATACTAGGAGCACGCATTATACATATATGTATCTTTATCATTAAGTGGTTGTCGTGGCCTATGAACGCTTGCAACACTTGGGGCCTTGCCGACCCTTAAAAAACCTATTTAGGTACTCCCTTTTATATATTATTATGCTAAATATTCACCAGTTATGTTATTTTTTGTACCTTTTTGTACCTTCTGCCCGCGATTTTGTCCGCGTCTTCAGGGTAAAAAGTAGCCTATGTTTTAGCCTGGATAATAATCTATCTCTGTGCCATTGTACATTTCATCCAGTTCTGCTCAGTAATTTTTGCGTAAAAGAATAATAAACATCAAACTCGCATACGTATTCCCACACGCACGGTATAATTTCAGATACCGTCCAAATACAGATAATTTTAGTTCACTATGTAAAAGATGTACAATAGATACCGAATTTTTAATTTGAGAATTGAATTCGTGATTCCATGTTTAGCAATCGATATTAAAAAGTCCGTATAACAATTTGTTTAAGATTAGAATCGAATCGAAGTACGTTGAGCTAAGGAAAACATGGCTACCTCTTTCCCATCATTGTTTTATTTATCTATACTATAGTAAGGGTCTTTGACCAAGTAGGTTGAGGTCACATAGGCCCTGTGGCTTGTCGTAAATGCAACTAGTAGAACGCTGGTATCGTCATGAGCTAATGTTGACATGTAAACAGCGGCTCGTGTAGTGTAGATGTCCAGCCAACTGATGGTAGCGAGGTTCACTGTCTACAGACACACTTACGCTAGTATCGTTATGAGCTAATGTTGACATGTGAACAGCGAATCGTGTAGTGTAGATGTCCAGTCAACTGATGGTAGCGAGGTTCACTGTCTACAGACACACTTACGCTAGTATCGTTATGAGCTAATGTTGACATGTGAACAGCGAATCGTGTAGTGTAGATGTCCAGTCAACTGATGGTAGCGAGGTTCACTGTCTACAGACACACTTACGCTAGTATCGTTATGAGCTAATGTTGACATGTGAACAGCGAATCGTGTAGTGTAGATGTCCAGTCAATTGATGGTAGCGAGGTTCGCTGTCCAGTGACAGACGTACGCTGGTATCGTCATGAGCTAATGTTGACATGTGAACAGCGACTCGTGTAGTGTAGATGTCCAGTCGATTGATGGTAGCGAGGTTCACTGTCCAGTGACACACGTACGCTGGTATCGTCATGATCTAATGTTGACATGTAAACAGCGACTCGTGTAGTGTAGATGTCCAGTCAACTGATGGTAGCGAGGTTCACTGTCTAGAGACGCACATACGCTGGTCATTTAGTGGTTCACTCATTTGTAATGGTACTGTTTAAACCGCTATATTGTTCTCTCAGCAGTTCATGTAGATGTTTATAAACTCTTCACGTTGCTATTGCCATGCAGCAATGAATTGTTATAACAAACCCACTTGTCAGTTCCCATGTTATATTATACGTATATACAGCTTGATTTAAGTCTTGTATTGAGATAGGGACTTTATTTGCAAGTATTTACGTTTTATATTTGCTTACGGGACTCTAGATATTGATAAAACGCATCATGGTTGATAATTTGTGACTGATCTAGATTAAGTTTTGATTTAGATAGGTACTAATTCTTCCTCTTCATTGCATGAGACTTAGGGTATGCAAATCTCGACAGATTTGGGTTGAAGCGAGAAAATAAGAAACTGTCTTCTCATCTCATATCAAACAAAAATCGCGAGATCACCATTTTTCACTCTCACACTCAGGGTTTGCCATCATCTTCACGCTTCGTAGGAGAGTTTAAGATAACAGTTTAAGTACTCAAGTTTATCAAAAAACACTGCTACCCGGTCTCTGTCGAATGCGCAGTCCCTTATTCACCTTGTGTCTCCCGCGGGAAGATTAGAAGAAGTGACAAAGAAACAACCCAGTGGTGTAATCTACCATATTTACCATAAGGACTCGGGCCCCGTACCCAGGGGACAATTCCCACCACGGACACACACCGACTACACGTTGCCCGGCAACTGCCCGGCAACTGGCTGCACCACAACGTGTTAGGGGCTCGATTCCCGCACGGAGCAAATCTTTGTATGATCCACTAATTGTGGTTCCGAGTCCGAGTATCATGTGTATGTGAATTTATATGTTTGTAAACGCACCCACGACACAGGAGAAAATCCTAGTGTGGGATGACTGTGTGCCCAGGGGCCCCATTGTAGTCTAAGAAGCCCCGAGGGTGTGCCGTAACAGGCGTTGCACCGTGGAGGCTCCGAAGCAGATAGATTATTTTGTAACTTCAATTCATTCACTCAGTTCGAATGTTTGTATTTAACATTAGCCTAGCTGG